ACCACTCAAGTTTCTTTCAAATACAACTTTCCACGCGGAGATATCAAACAAGGCAATTCTAAGTTCCTGTTGTCCTTCGGATGAAAATTTAGGCGTGCATAAAACGCATCCAACAAGATCTTTCGATACAGGAATTAGTCTTTCGATTTCGCCCATCATGGTGATAGAGTTTAGACCTTGAGACAAGTCACCGTTCCATACCTCTAATGTCTTGCTGTCTGTTTGCAAGAGAACACCTTTCTCACCATTGTATGTGACAGTTACAGTCATTATCCCATTCTCGACACGACGTGAACTGTGTTGGAAGGACTTTTCCTGCTTCACTTCCCTTGCATTGTTTGCATCCCGCATAGTAAATGTCACCGAGCGTGACTCATCTGTTTTCATTCCTTGGTTGCAAATGGCGATAGTTGTGTACAAGCGCGTGCTATCGTTGACAGTAGAAAACGCAGCTTGTGCTGTCCGTGGCATCTCTTCGTCTTTTAGGGGACGAGTAATATCAAGCATCGTTAAGTAATTAACCGTTGGACTCCCGACCACTGCCAAATCTCTTAGTAACAAGAGGCAAAATCCAATTTGCAAGTCTGCAGAAACGATGTGGGATGTCTTGCAAACGGCTTTCAATCTATCCACAGAATCATCCGATTCCCACGGCCACAGAAAGACACAAGGTGATTGTGACTGAAGCGCTGGCACCGAAAGTTTGTACTTGTCTCGGTGATCAGACAGCTCATGTTGGATACTGCCACAGACAAGAGCTCCTACTTCTGTAAAATGTAACAGTCCACAAGGGTTACCTTCCCCAGAAATGTTTGGAGGTGCTTTCTTCCAGCTGGAACCTTCAACGGCTTGTAACCAGAGTGAGCCACTTGTATTGCAGATCGCGACACGATTTCCATCTTGAGAAATAGCAAAAGAAGCTATGGTTTCTTCGCTCTCGAAGCGTTTGATCTCCTCACCATTCGTGGTGTTCCACATGACCACTTGATGGGCGTTTTCTGGACAATCAGTTAACATCCTAGTTTTGTTACCTGAGAAATAGCAAACATTGAAATGACATTTGCTTCCTGGAAAGAGTGACTTCGGTTCTCCATCTAAGCTGTAAACTTTGGCCAAGTTTCCTGGCAAAATGGAACATCCGTCTGGATGGAAGACAGTGGAACGGTAAAACGACAGCGTCTTTTTCCCAGTCTCATTATCTTCGCACGTCTGTCGAAAAGCACTTCCAAGAGGAACTTCATTGTACGACTTTATCGATTTTAATAAAGCTTTCTCCCACAGCCGCTTTCCAGTCTCAAGCGACCATAACGACGTCGTTCCATCACGACATTCGCTTACCAAGAGTTTTTCGTCTGGGGAAACATCAAAGCAAACCACTTTGTCAGAGCAAAAAAATCGACCAACAACAGGGCCTTGATGACCATTTTTGTCTAGCAGCTCCATATATGGTATTTCTGGATGAGACCTCAAAAGAGTATCAGACACCTGTTGATAAAGTGCTGATTCTCCTTCATTGAGTAAGTTTTGGAAAATCATCCCAGGATTATCTCGAAGCAGCTTAGGGTTTTTCTTGAATTGTAGTAAAAGGCTTTCAATTGTATTGTGGATTTCTTCGCTTAATTCCCTTGAATTCCGATGTTCTTGCACAAGAACAAGATCCTTAAGCACATCCGTGTCCTCTGTACGTAGCTTGGCATAAACGAGTTCGAGATCTGTCACGTACCCTTGAACTAATTCTTCCATTTGAGCGCTTTCAGTCTCACATGCTTCCAGCATGTGCTTGACACCGTGTCGCAAGGCGTATTTCTTCTTTGCTTGAGTCGACGGTCCACCACGTCCCTTCAAAATTTCAAGTGCTTTAGCGCACAACTTAAACAGAATCTTATGACCTCTCTTCTCCTCTACGAAGAAAAAACCATTGGACGGGTCTGTCAACCAATCCTTGATGGATTTGTGGAACATGTGAACATGGTCCTCTCGAAGAATGAAAAGAGAAGATATACAGTCAATAACACCCTTAAGTTTTCGCTGATCGCTCAAGGGATCACTTTCTGAAGTGTTACGGTTTTGCAGCAGTATGTCCACGATGAACTCTTTGTGCAAAGGTTCTTCAGAAACAGTCAAAGCACTCAGAAAATCAGTCAAAAAATTGCCATAGTTATCCTTCAATTCTTCCTTCAGTCTTTTC